TATTTTTTTAAAAGATTTAGTTATTCTGTAATTTTTTTATTATTTATTCTAAAAATTAACAATCATAAAATAGTTTTTGATTGAAATGAGGTTTTTTTTTTAAATGAGATCATTTCAGATTATTTTTTAGTTTCATATTTTTAATGTTCAATAAATAAATAAATAAATATAATTTTTATTTTTGAAAAATTCTGAAACTTTTTAAAAAATTTGATTGGATTTTTTTTAATGTGTGTGCAAAATTTCAATTCAAAATATCAAAAATTAATTTTTTTTTTAAATGGTAGTTAAAAATCATTGGATAAATTAAATTTTAAAAAATAAAAAATTGAGGTATTTTAAAAACTAAATTTAAAGTTAAAAATTTTCATTTTAAATGAATTAAAGTTTAGGACAGATTTGAAATATATATACATATAGAGAGAACTGAGCGTTGAGAAATCGGGGCGTCGGTCATTTATCTTTTATTTACCGCTTTTTATGATAAGAGATCAAATCCCAAATTCTATTAACGGTCCGTATAAATGTAGTTCTCACTGTGAATTACAAATTTATTGCGACCGCTAGAGTAACCTAAAGTCATGTGATATTTCACTTTTTGTTACGAAATAGTAATTAAAGTGTTTCTGTTTGTGTAATTTAATTACTGAAAATAAAATAAATTTGACTGAAATCAAGATTACTTCAAACCATAAAAGAGAAAATCAAAATTTATGCTATTGCCTTAGCTAAAAGTAGCCGTTGAAAAGAACTCATAATTGAGCGTATATGTTTGTTCAAAAACTTGCTCTCGTACTTTGATCCCCTCGACTTCATCTGATTTGTTTAATCTGATCTGTTTAATAAATATCTCTTTCTTCTCTTCTGGTTTAGTACTAAGCGAAGAATTCAAGCTTATTTATTTATTTATTATTATTGTTAATTATTCTTTTGAACTGTCTGTTTAAGAAAACAAACACATATTAATAATATTAAGACCCAGAAAACAACTATCAATAATAAAATATTATTCTTATCAAAGAAATAACTTAATAGTGATTTTATATTAATTTTTTAACATATTTTTTAGAATGAAAATCTTTTGAATTTGAGATTTATATTTTAAATTTAAGATTTATATAGACCCACTATTTTTTATATTAAAATTTAATTTAATTTAATTAGAGAAAAATGAAAAAAAAATAGTAGGACTAACATCCACGATCATTTGATCATTGAAATTATGTTAAAAAATTACTTCAACTCAAAATCTTAAATTATTACTTGAAATTCCAAATATATATTTCTTGTAATGTTTAATAATTGAATTTATTTTCAATTATCAACAAGAAAAAAAACATACAATGCGAATACAATATCCAATATAATACATGTATTGTCTATTGTGTTGATTTTATCAAATGAATTAAAATATAATAGTATTTATAAATAACACGTTACTCACTCGTATCATTGTAGTTTGTATGTACATCATTAAATAGTATTATTCAATAAATTATGAGATGAGAATAATATCACCCAAGGATGTAATTAAAACCTTTAATAACTCATGAAAATGACTCGATATTTTAATTCGTTTAACCCATGAATTTCTTATTAAAAGACCATCCATGGACTAATATTATTATTCAATTTTTTCAATTAATCACACTTTAGGTTGAATTATAGAAATCATGTGTGTGAATCCTCTTGACATTTCGTTCCCGTTTACTTTGGAATTGGATGTCCATTCATAAATGAAAATTGAAAAGGGGACAATAAAAAACGAAATAAATAAATGGAAGAAACAGTCATGGGAGGTGTTTTGACTTGTGTTGACCAAACCCGAAACCCAACTACCCCTTGTCGGGAGAAAATAGAAACATGAGAAGAGAACAAGTTACCCAACCGACCGTTGCAAGTAACTATCTAGTTTCTGAATTTCCCACTATTTCCAGATCGATTCCATTGCACTCAAATTATCGCCTATAACAATCACCTAAATTTAGTGCCCCACGCGCTCCATCTCGAATGGATTACCATCAAGTCTCGAACCATTATTATCCAAACATTCCTTAAAAAACGGGTTGATGACCCACAGCATCCCTGTATTACTACGATATGCTTAAGTCCTTCTATCCCAAAAAAGGGTTGATTAAGTCCCTGTGCTTTAGCTTCTTTACTTCGTATCATCCCTCCCTCTATTACCGTCTGTTGACAATATGATTCATGTCTTATCGACTGTTTTGACTACTAAATAACAGTAATTCTAATTTTATACTTTTGAGCAACTTTTGTATTTTCAGAAAAAATTAAAGTATAAACCATTTAATTATTTTTTATAAACTTATATGATTAGAATTATCTCAAATGGGATTTGTATCAAGAAGGGGCTTGTTATGGTTATTTCAAGGCACCATGATTCAAGTTATAAGCTATTAAATATTTTTATTTATGTATCATAATTATTTATCTTACTAGTAACTTAATTAATTATTTCAAAATTATACTAGTTATTAATATTATTATACAATTATGACTCAAAAAGTACATTGTTATTTTCAACCAAAAAAAAAGAAATTCTACTCATTTTGTAACAAATAAGTGATTACAAATTATTAAATAGATTCACTAATAAGTTATAACACGTTATCTTATTTTTTGTAATTTAGCTAATTTCTCCATAGTTATATAACAGTTATATAATTTAGCTAATTATGATAGTCACGTACAATTAAGTACAACTTTAACAAAAAAAAAAATTATTGTTACTTTAGAGAAGAAAAAAATATTTAAGTTGTAAAAATACAAACTAATAAATTTTTACACTTATTGCATTTTAAACACTATCTTAGTATTTAATAAATTTAAAATTACTATAACTATAATATCTTGAAATAACCGTAAGAAGTTTCGTATCAATAACTCACTTATATCTACTTCTCAATAAAAATGAAAAATTAAAAATTAAGAAAAAATATTAAAGCAAACTAAAACTTAAATTAAAAGAATAATAAAATATATTAAAGATGATCAAAATCTTGTTTTTGAAAACCGAAGGAACTCAAAAGTTTTGAAGCTTTTGTGTTCAAACTTCTTCCCCTCCTTTATCCTTTCTTTCTTTATTTCAAGAATTTCATCATCTTTTTTCAATCGCACTCTAAAACTTTGTCTTTCTCCCCCTCATCTTATCTCCTTCTCTCTAACAAATAAAAATAGTAACTCAGTTTGGTTTTGCCAAATAGCCGTTAGATCATGTACGGATGCAAGTGCTTCTTCTAACAACGATCTAGATTTTCAAAATCAAAACAATCACTAGTGGTGGATTGGGAGGAGATGGAATTTTTTGAATTTATTTATAGGTTTTTCATTTTGGGGTGGAAAAGAGCAATTAGAAATTATTATTTTTTTTAACAAAAAACTACAAATTCATATGTCAGACATAGAACTGATGCATGAAAATAATTTAATTGGTTCTTAGCATAATAGCATTTTACAAAGAAATAGATTTAAAAGTTTTCAATTTACCTTCGTATCCTTGTTTAGGAGATTTTATCTATTGTATTTCTAGTTCTATGAACACCAATCTCAAAGGAAATAGATTAAACGATTGAATAATTAATGAAAAATATTTGGTCTGTCTCGAATTGTTGATAAGTTTTTTTAGGCAACATTAATTGAAGTTGTCAATTAAGTTATGGTTCATATTATAAATTAAGAAAATATTCAATGCATTTTTTATAATTATTATTTTTTTATATTTTTAAATTAACTTTTTTAAAATTACTTAATTATCCTTTTTGCTTTTTGAAAATAAGAACCAAAAAAAAAAAAAGAGTTAAATGGGTTATTTAGTATTTAAAGAAGTCAATGAGACACGTGTCTTGCATCAACGTGTCTACGGTTAATTCTTTTGACGGTGTTAATAAATGACAATTGGCGGAGGACTGGAATGAAACAAAAAACTAATGACAGGAATTTAATCAACCTTTATGTTGGGAAAGAGATTTAATTTAATAATTCATAATAGTATAGCAACGAAGATAATTGATAACCTCTTAAAAAATATATTATCGAACAAAAACCAACAAACAGCTATTTTTACAATCACAAAACAAAAAATTAGGTCCTAAACTTAGTTACTGTTTGGAAAATAACCATTAATTTTTGGGAAAAAAATGCAAGTCCGACTTGATTTCTTGCTAATCATGAGAATCTTGAGGCTTCGAGCCCCTTTCTTTACATAAAACAAAAAAAAAAAAAAAAAAAAACTAATGTGAACATCATAAAATAAATCTTATTTGTAAAACTTATATTCAGTTTGTTTAGTGTCTGTTTGACTTTGTGGTTGGCTTTTGCAATTGCATTACAGAAAAAATAAATGAAGAAAAACATACCAAATACAAAAAAAAAAAAAAAAGTAAGATAAGACAAGAATTAAATAGTATTTCATATTAGAACTCCAGAAAATGTGAAAAAGTAATAAAAAGGTAGGATAAAAGTCTTAAATAAGATAAACGAAAAATATTTTAACGGTCCAAAAAATTCAGGTTTCTTTTGTAACTGGGGGTTGGAGTAGTTGCTCCATTGACAAAATAAAGATTACCCTAATGTTTATTTTCCGTTAACCTATTTAAGTAACTACAGTGTTTGTCAAAATTTTTCAAAAATTGGATCCGAGAAAAGAAGACCGTTCCTCGACACTTGTGCCCTAACTTTCTCTTTGTTCTCTTTAGTTGGTACACTTTTAACACACTTCCCTCTCTTGCACCCTCAAACCTCATCAATATCTCTCTCCTACCTCGCCCTTTTCTTCAGACACCACGGAGAGACAACGACGTCTTCGTGTATCCTTCACTCTACCCGCATCATAAACCAGCGGACCGTAAAATCAAAACCAAATAAGAAGAAGAAGAAGAAGAAGAAGAAAAAAGAAACCTAACCCTAACCCTCACAAAACCAAGAAAAGGAAAATTCATCGATAGAGAGATAACACTGATCTCTATTAAAAGCTTAGAATTATGGTAGCCGGTAAGGTAAGGCTGGCAATGGGTTTGCAAAAATCGCCAGCAAACAAAACTGAAACTCATAATAATACACCACCACCACCAAAACCACCGCTTCCTTCTCCTAGCTCCGGCAAGGTTTCTTCTCAGAAGGCGGTTTTTTCACGCTCTTTCGGTGTGTACTTCCCTCGCTCCTCCGCTCAAGTTCAACCTCGTCCACCTGACGTAACCGAGCTTTTAAAACTCGTTGAGGAGCTTCGTGAACGTGAATCTCTCTTAAATACTGAACTTCTTGAGTTTAAACTGTTAAAAGAGAGCATTTCCATTGTTCCTGTTTTAGAAACTGAGATTTCTAATAAAAATTTGGAGATTGAGAAGGCAGCGAAGAAGATAGAATCTCTAGAGCGTGAAAACGAGAGCTTAAAAGCCGAGTTGAGTGAAGTGACAGTGAAATTCGAAGAGGAGAGGAAAGAGGGTGAAAAGAAAGTTAAGGAGTTAGAAGCGGAAGTTGTAGAGATGAAGAAAGCGGTGTCGGATCGTGAGAATGAAATAGAGCTTTCTTCTTCACAAAGGTTTGAAGGGTTAATGGAGGCCGCAACCAAATCTAACTTGATTAGAAGCTTGAAGAAAGGAGTCAAATGTGCGGACATTGTGAGTTCATCGAGCCAGAATCAAAATGTAGATCATCATTCGAAGAGATTGGAAGAGAATGTGGAAATCGAGAAGCCGAGGCATTCGAGGTGTAACTCGGAGGAACTCACTGAATCAACTCTGTCCAGCCTCAGATCTCGAGTTCCTAGGGTCCCTAAACCACCACCAAAACGATCATTGTCATCGCCAGCAACATCGTCATCGTCAGTTTCACCCAGCGGTTCTGATCAATCAGTTTTAGGGCCACCTGCTCCCCCGCCGCCACCTCCGGTGGTCAAGAAGGTTGTTCCACCACCACCACCACCGCCTCCAAAGGGGAAGAGAGTTGGGACGGCGAAAGTGAGGAGAGTGCCGGAGGTGGTTGAGTTTTATCACTCGTTAATGAAAAGAGACTCGCGGCGGGAGGCCGGTGGAGTGGTTGAGCCTTTACCGGCAACGGCTAATGCCCGGGATATGATAGGGGAGATAGAGAACAGGTCGACCCATTTGTTAGCTGTAAGTACCGGTTTATTTTTTTATTTTTTTGAAGTTTTTGAGATATTTACGAGATTTTGCCATTGTGGGTTTTCGTGTTTTTGGGTTTGGGTTGATAGATGACAGGTCTGGGTGCCTTTATTGGTCCCTTTCATTCACCATCTTTTTTTGGTTGGAATTTAGTGTTTGCTTCTGAGATAAGACAGTGTTTGTATTCGAGGTCGATGTCTGAATCTTTTTATTAAAAAAGAGTGTAAATTTTGATGAATCTGATGGCAAATTGGACAATTTAGAACCTTTAGTCTGTTTTATACACTCTAGAAAATGGGGCATGGTGTACGTCTTCAACTGATAGGTGATTAGTTTTGTTAATGTAAGATTTTGAAATGATTTACGTCTGTGCTTTGGTCAATGATGAATGAGAGATTATGAGCTAATTTTTTTTCTCTTGGTTTTACAGATAAAAACAGATGTGGAAATACAAGGAGATTTTATTAGGTTTTTGATAAAAGAAGTTGAGAATGCTGCATTTACAAACATTGAAGATGTGATCCCATTCGTTAAATGGCTGGACGATGAGCTATCTTATCTGGTAAATTTTTAATTTTCCATTAATTTAGTTTCAAATTAACTGTAAATTTCGGATTCCATTTGCTGCATCCGGAGAGAATATCATGTTTTCCTTGCTTGCTGCTGTTTAGGTGGATGAAAGAGCAGTGCTTAAACACTTTGATTGGCCAGAGCAGAAGGCAGATGCACTGCGCGAGGCTGCCTTTGGGTACTGTGATTTCAAGAAGCTAGAATCGGAAGCCTCGTTGTATCGGGACGATTCCCGCCAGCCATGCGGTCCTGCTCTCAAGAAAATGCAGGCTTTGCTTGAAAAGTACATAATTTACTCATCTCTCCCTTTTTTTTTAAAAAAAAACTATATGAATCTGTCTTCATTTGACTTTGATATTGCATAGAATCTAGCTTTCTTATTCTAATTCCACAAGTTGTGTGATTGGTACAGATTGGAGCATGGCGTTTACAATCTATCAAAAATGAGAGAATCAGCAACCATGAGATACAAAGGTTTTCAAATTCCAACGGATTGGATGCTTGAAACAGGAATGGTTAGTCAGGTAAATTTAACCTCTTCCAACGGCGTTGTTCGATAATTGGTCTCTAATTTCTTTGGCATAATTACAATAACACCCAGACCCACAGATCCCTATTTTTGATAATCTAGAGATAGATTTCAGATAGTCCTATTTAATTAGTCATTGGAGAGAAAACATAACTCCATTGTTGACACATTCTGCTACGCATTATTATACAATTAGTTGTTGTAAGAAGATGACAACAGAAAAGTTAGATTTTTGCCTTATTTTCTCTGCCCACGCCTGCAAGCGTGCATGTGAATTTCCAGATTTCTAAATTGTAGTTTCTTGTCTGCTTTTAAAATTTGGACTCATTAGTAAAGATTCCCCAAGTTGACTCCATAAGACTAGCACATGTTTTCTTTTTTGTAATATATAGCTCGTAGGATTTCCAAATTCTAGAAACCCAACACCAACAGAAATTTAAATATTTAATTTAGTTGTTAAATAGGGATTTAAGTGACCGATTGCTTTTGTTTTTTTTTTTTTTTGCTTTGAAGCTTCATTAATAATAGTTCTGAACTATTTGTTATGTAGCTGATCAGCCTACTGACATATTGTTGCAGATCAAGTTGGCATCTGTGAAATTAGCAATGAAGTACATGAAGAGAGTATCTGCAGAACTTGAAACTGTCGGTGGGGGCCCTGAAGAAGAGGAGCTGATAGTGCAAGGCGTTCGATATGCATTCCGGGTACATCAGGTGAGGACCCATTTACTAGCATTATTTACCTTCTTCAACTACCGGAGTAATTATACTTTGTTGCCCGTGAGGCTAATGCTTTCATTTTTTTTGTGCCAGTTTGCTGGAGGTTTTGACGTGGAAACAATGAGGGCATTCCAAGAGTTGAGAGATAAAGCCAGATCATGTCATGTACAATGTCAGAACCAGCAGCAACAGAAACTTGTATGCAGGTCTACAGCTTGTTAATCTGTAGCAAACTCAGCTTCAGAATTTGCTTCCTTTTGGTTGTAAAGATAGAACACCATGTTTGTCAATACTATGATGACCCTGCGATCTCGGAATCAATAATTTAATGATTCATTAGTTCATTCTTTTATTTCATTTGTGTCCTTAGTTACTATTCGTAAACTTGACTAAACAACTTTTATTGGGTATCCTGTTATAAACCTAAAATATGAGAAAATCTCAAATGAATGCCACATTTTTATTTAGTTAAAATCTTGAAAACATAACTATGTATTATATTGATTTGGTTTGGTTTAGAGTGTGTTCGTTCTATTATTTTGATTTATTATATTTCTGCTCAACGTGTGTCTCCGGTTAGGCAAACGTTTATTTATTTATTTTAGTTAAAAAAAAAAAGTTGCGAATAAATTTTTTTAAAATATTTTTAAATAAAAATTTTTCTTTTTAGCAAGAGAACAATTTTTTTCCTTAAAAAATCTTCATTTATATTAGAAATTTTAAATAATGAAATTTAATTAAAAGAAATTTTTTATTTTTTTATTTATAATTTTCCTGAAAAACTTAGAAGAATTTTTTTTAATATTTTCTCAGTATTTGTAATTTATAAGAATATTTTTTTATTTATAATTTTCATGGAAATTTTTTTCAAAAAAAAACTTTGTTCTTTAAGGAAAATTATAAATAAATAAAATTTAGAAAAACTTTTAATGAATTTTTTTCATATATATATATAGAGAGAGAGAGAGAGGTCAGGATCATATAATCTTCAACTAGCACATCACCAAACTGTTATAGATGTTCAATTTCAACAACTTACTTAAAAAAGAATGGTTAGTTTCTATCTAAATTATGCATATTTAAATACTTTGTCCAACAATGGTTAATCTCATGTGCATCTTTAAGGAAACTATTTCATGGTCCATAGATATTGTATAAAAAGGAAGATTGAAATTATTCAATAAGGTTAGTTTGAGTGAAAGAAACTCTAATCATTTAAAGAAAGAGTTTCGAGTTCGAATTTTTATGTATATAAAATTTTTTTTTGGATAGTTGTTTTTATCTTATGGTCCAATAAAATAATAAATAATTAGTGTAGTTTTTGGGTATGAGATATTCTGAAGGATAAAAAAAGAAAAGAAAGAAAGATTGAAATTCATTGTGAGACGTCATCAATTCATTCTCAAAAGATTATATATTCTATTGTAGTACCAAGGATATCTGTGCTTTTAGGTTTAGGGGGTTAAACGTTAAGGTTTGACGTTCCTTGATCTTGTCTGATGATGAATGGAAGAGAAAAGTTTAAGCAATGAAAAGTTACTCCCTCAATTCTATTAAGTGTCCTCATTGAGAAGATCACAAAAAATATATTGATTGCTACATTTTATAACGTGCTAGTTTGTTTTTATTCTTAATTATTGTTCAAATTATGTCTTGTTTCTAATCAATTTTAGAAATGGCAAAGGGTAATAATGAAAAGTTTCATATCTATTACCTTTGACTTTTAACGTGTCCGTTTTACACTTCAAAAAATATGAAGTATGACGCTTATGATGTGATTGAGGGAAAGGAAGGGAATTTTTTTCTTCTTCCCAAACTCATCATTTATTTTCCTTTTCTTTTTTCTACCGATAATTATTTGGTTTCACAAATATAATGTTTAACAAATACTCCATTTATGATACAGTATTTTCAATTATATTTAATTGTAATTTTAATTTCAAAATTAACATATTCCAATCATTACAAGTAATTTTTCAAGTAAATTATAATTCAATCTCTCTCGTTTAGGAAACGAATTAATTAGTCTCTCTAGCTTCATAATTGAGTAATTCAGTCATTTTTGTTATTTTTAATTTATTTTTACTTTAAGAAAAAAAAAGTAAATTATGAAAAGATTGATGAGAAAAAGATATATTTTATAAGATAAAAAAATATTAAATTAATTATGATTAACACCGATGAAAATAATTAAATAATTAGTTTTTGAAACCAGATGACTAATTAATTCTTTTTCAAAAAAAAAAAGAAGGACTAATTTATAATTTACTCGTAATTTTCCATATCTACCAAATATTTTTAACACTTTATAATTAAACCATTTTTACACCTTAGATTTTATACTTGAACTCAAAAAAATTACATCCAAACCGAACTGAATTTAATTTTGGATTTTAAATAAAAATTTTTTTTGTGGATTTATGATATTTAAAATTTTTTTATTTTGACCATTTAAAACCCATTCCATTACATATGTATTTTTATTTATTTATTTAAAGGATCATTACCTTCATCAATGAAACTAATACCATAAAACTCATAAAACTTACAAATAGACCTAACTTTCTTTTTCCATAATTTTCCTGATCAATATACTTATATATATACATTGATCCACGAAAGTGTTATCAACTTAACATCACTTTTTGTAGCCATATTGCATCAAAAAATTTACCCCCACATCCACATGGCCACATTAAAATTTGATGCTCAAAATTTATGAGACAAAGTCCAAACAACATAAAACATATAATTTTTTTTTTTTTTTTTTTTTTTGCCAAAGATAATTCTATCTTATATATATTTAGAGAAAAAAAATTGAGATCTTCCAAATGATCTTGAATCCAATTAATAAAACTATCAAAATTGTCCAATGATTGAGAATCCATAAAGGTTATTTTTTCTTTTTACTACATTATGAGTAGGCCAATTATAAGTTCTTGGAACAAAAACAAAAGAAACGAAAGAAATAGGATGGTGATGTTAAATTGCTTCGTTAAGGATGGAATGAGCTTTACTCTCTCGTTGAAGGAGTGAGAGTTGACAGTTTCAATCAGAAATTTGGCATCTCTTTTAATACAAGCTGGTTGGTTAAAAGAATTGGCTAAAACAATAGCCTCTATAATCGCCAAACCTTCCATCGTGTGAGCATCCAAAGTATATCGATAATAAACACCATGGCCTCCCCAAACTATACCATGATGATCTCTTGCGACAATACTTGAAGCACCCGAGGCACTGAAGTAAGAAAAGACACCATCAAAATTAATTTTGAGAGGTCCAGTTAATGGGGGTGACCAGCAAGAAATGGAGGTATGATGTTCAGATTGTAGGCTAGGAATAAAAATACAATACATTTAATAATTGGAATTTAGAAACAGCATATATAATACTAAATAATAAAAGGAAGATTTTTCAAATTCCAAGTTCCAACTTCCAAGCATAATAGAAATAGAAATACAAGCCAGCCATTCAAATTTCAAAGTGCAAATAATAAAAATAAGATCTTCCAAGTTCTAGGTTCCAACTTCCAACCATAAAAGAAATACAAGCCAATAATCCCTTAAGATCTCCCAAGCCTTGACATTTCCTATTAAAAAACAAAAACGACAATGAAATTATTCAAGTTTCATATATCAAGCAAATAAAAATTAGAAATTTTACTCATGTCAAGGTCAATCACCTTCATATATTGATCGTAGTTGGTCCCAATACAAGTTTTGATAAATCTAAAAAGAAAAAAAATAACATCAACAACATTTATAAAAATGAAAAGAAACAAAATTACAATTGAATAGATAAGAACTACAAAAATTACTAGTTTCAAGTTTGTCAATATTTGGCAAATCTTCTTCGACATTAATTTATTTTTATGACTCTTGGAGCTAACATTGAGTACATATCAAAGATGCATTATGTCGAGAGTTGAAGAACTCCGAAAGCATTAGGAATTTATCCTCCCGCGCTAAATAAACTCTCTAAAGCATTAGTGGATATTGAATTCATCAATACATAATGGGCCACTTGTGAAAGGATTAGAAATTGAGATGAATTTTTTTCTACCACTTTTAAATATAAAAATCATCATCATCATTTTTTGCATCTTCACTGATAAATTTATCCAATTTCGATTTATTTTCCCCAACTCCACATTCATCATTGTATTTTTTAAAATGTGACTTTTTATTCATTTTCATACCTTTTGTCCCTTGCTCAACACTCTTTTCAATTGCATTCGACATTTCCACTCACTCATTTTATTGACTACTTTGAGGTGTTAAGAAACTACAATATGAATTAAACATTGCAAATGTAGCTGATATCATAAGTTTTAATATTATTGCACCATTGTTTTCACCAAACATTTCATTGAATGTAAATGCAACATAATTAAGTTTATACCAAGGATAAAAACCACCACAATATAAATCAAAACGTTCACTTTCTTATTATTTCCTCAATACTTATCAAACTTCTCTTTCATTCTATTAGGTATTGCATAAGTTTCCATGTCATCAATTGCTCGCCATTTTTTATCAATGAAACTATTCTCATTGAAAAAAAACATTAGGAGTGACATAAAAAGAACCCAAAATAAATACAGTAAGATCATAGAAAGTTTTTTAAATACTCATCATCTTCCTACAAACATTTCAATCAATACTCCTAGGTGGCCCACGTGCCTTATTATCATGATCTATATTAAGTTCACTTTTGTACAAATGCTTGACTTGCTCATATCTTTTAAAATCCCTCTTGAACTTTTGAATGACATCCACCATCAAATATGTTGAATTCTATGTAATTGGAACATGTAAATACAACAAATTGTTATAATTAATCTTTTTAAACTCAATACATTCTTTGAATTTTTTCAAACTAGCTAGAGATTGTCTCACCTAGCTCACAACTAATTAAATATGCGGAACTGAATCATTCACATCTCTCAAGCCATCATCAACAACAAGATTTATAATATGTGTAATACAACTCATATAAAGGTATTTTGTATCTAAGATACCATGTCCCCACTTCTTAATAACATTTTTCAAGTATTTAATAGTCAAATCAATTGACCTTGTATTGTCAATGATAATAGTAAAGACCTTTTAATAGCCATATCAATTGAACTTGTATTGCCAATGATAATTGTAAAGACCTTTTTAATTCCCAACTCAATCAATCACTTCTCTTTGGCATATCCTAAATCTTTTCCTTTATGA